GTTAGCATTTCACAAGCCCCTACTAGGTGCCAGTCACCTCCTCATACAAGGGTCATTTATATGAGATAGTTGCACTTCATTATCTCCATTTTACAGATGAGGAAACTGAGGCTAAATGACCTGTTCACAATCATACAGTTAGAAAGTGGTGGCTAAGCACGGTGGCTCACGCCTGTAAATCCCAGCACTTTGGGAGGCTGAGGTGGGTGGATCACGAGGTCAGGCATTCAAGACCAGCTTGGCCAACATAGTGAAACCCCATCTCTACTAAAAATATAAAAATTAGCTGGGCATGGTGGTGGGTGCCTGTAATTGCAGCTACTTGGGAGGCTGAGGCAGGAGAATTGCTAGAACCTGGGAGGCGGAGGTTGCAGTGAGCCGAGATCATGCATTGAACTCCACCCCAGGAATAGTGCAAGACTCTGTCTTGAAAGAAAGAAAGAAAGAAGAGAGATAGAGAGAGAGAGAGAGGAAAGAAAGAAAGAAAGAAAGAAAGAAAGAAAGAGAAAGAAAGAAAGAAGAAAGAAAGAAAAGAAAGGAAGGAAGGAAGGAAGGAGCAAAGCCAGGTTTTGAACCCAGAAAACCTGACTTCTGAGTAGTTCTTAACTTGTGTGCCTAATGTTCGTGTTGCCGCCCTCTCCACTGAGGGACACAGGGATGTGGAAGGGACGATGCCACCTGTGGTGATGTGACATTGCTCCAGTGGGTGCTTACATCCAGAGAAGAAGAGGCTAGTCTCTAGACAAGCCAAGGTCCTCTTTCCCGCCCCATTTTTCCTCCATCATCAGCCTATTTTCAGCCTGTGTTAATTACAGGCTTTAGAAACTTACCACTAACTCGGTGGCTAAAACCAGTAGCTATGTATTCTTCCTCGGTTCCGGAGACCAGAAGTCTGAAGTTAGTGCTACGGGGTAGAAATCAAGATACTGGTAGGACTGCCCTCCCTCCAGCGGTGAGAATCTATCCTTGTCTTTTCCAGCTTTCTGGGGGTTAGAGACATTCCTTGGCTTGTGGCTGCACCATTCCAATTGCTGCCTCTGTGGTCACGTGGCCTTCTCTTCTGCATGTGGCCTCCTGCTGTCCTTCTCTTATCCGGACACGTGATTATATTTAGGGCACACCTGGATAGTCCAGGATAATCTCCCCATCTCAAGATCTTTAGCTTAATCACATCTACAAAGACCTTTTTATTTATAAAATAACACTTACAGGCTCTGGAGATAAGACTTGTTATGTTTGGGGGATAGACATATTTCAGACTATACATGATGTCTTAGTCTGTCTCACGTTGCTGTAAAGGAATATCTGGCCAGGTGTGGTGGCTCACCCCTGTAATCCCAGCACTCTGGGAGGCGAGGCGGGCTGATCCCTGAGAGCAGAAGTTCAAGGCCAACCTGGCCAACACGGCAAAACACTGTCTCTACTAAAAATACAAAAATTAGCCAGGCAAATTGGTATGTGCCTATAGTCCCAGCTACTTAGGAGGCTGAGACAGGAGAATTGCTTGAACCCGGGAGGTGGAGGTTGCAGTGAGCTGAGGTTGTGCCACTGCACTCCAGCCTGGTGACAGAGCTAGACTCCATCTCAAAAAAAATAAATAAATAAAATTATATAAATATATATATACACACACACACGCACACACATTATATGTATATATATACACATACACACATATATACACATTATACACACACACACACACACACATATATTTGAGGCTGGATAATTTATAAAGAAAATAGGTTTATTTGGCTCATGGTTCTGCAAGCCGCACAAGAAGCATGGCACTAGCATCTGTTGCTGGCGAGGGCCTCAGGAAGCTTCCAGTCATAGCGGAAGGGGAAGGGATCCTGGCGAGCTTGGTCAGAGACGGACCAACACAGAGAGTGAGGGGAGGTAACAGGCTTTTTACAAAAACAATCAGATTTCTGGGACACAAACAGAGAAGTCACTCAACATCATGAGGACACGAACGCCTCCCATCAGGCCCACCTCCCACCCTCGGGATCAAATTTCCACCTAAGTTTTGGAGAGCTTCCGATCCAGATGCTATTACATGACCTGAGGGCTGTTATCTGGAATCATCCGCCTCAGGCGTTCCATTCTGCCTTGGCTGCCTTTGCCTCCTGACTGCAGATCCTGGACCTCCCTGGGTTGATAATTGCAGAAAAAGACCATTCTCCGGCATCAACTTGACTCTTGTTTTCCCCTCTCAGTATTGGCTTTGTAAGCCGGGGAGCTGGTAACAGAGCCAAGGAGGAGGCTGAAGGGTGGCATCCCCCAACTTGTGCCCCATCTATAACCCTCCTGAACAAAGCCTGGTCACCTCTAAGGTTAAGCTTGGGTTGAATGCCAGGCATCAGGCCCAGAGAGGGACCTGGGTTGCCTGGAGACACACAGCAATTCATTTATTCCTTTGACAAACCTTTACTGGATGCCCTTCTATCTGCCAACCTCTGTGCTGGCTGCTGGAGACAAGGAAGTTACCTATCCCTTGTATCTCTAATCTAGTGCAGAGGAGACATAGCAAATTACACTGGTCATTTGTTTCTGAACATATGTAGCGAATGTGAAAACAGGGAAGAGAGGAGGCCTGGGAGGAGAGTAATTTACCCTGCAGGAAATTGAGGGGTGAGCTTCTGAAGGCTCCAAGGAGGAGGCAGCATTTGGCCTGGGTAGGTATTAGCCATGGGAGATTCCAGGCTAAAGGAACAACACGTATGAAGAGGGTCGAGAGGCTGAAAGGAGAGGCAGGTTGAGGGGCTTCATATGGCACACAGCTCTGTGTGTGTTTGCTGCATTTCACTGGATCCTCTTAGCTGGCCAATGAGTTAGTATTATTAGACCCGTTTCCTAGATGTCAAAACTGAGGCCTCACCCATGGAGATATTTCCCTGAGGTCATGCAGGGGCTGAGACACCCACTGGGGTCCACACTCTTTGCTTCTCTAATCCAGAAGTCATGTTATTTGCATTGTACAGTTTGACTCCATAAGTTTTGCCATGATGACTTCCCCCCTTAAGAATTCGCCCTCTGACACTCCCGTGGCCAGGAGTGTCAGAGCCTCGTTGCTCCAATTCCAATGGCAACTCTGACTGTAGGCTAGTGGCTGCCTGGGAGACTTAGGTGGCTGTATGGGAGTTGAGTGTTCTGAAATTGACTAGCAATGTCTGCTTGCGCACTGGGTAAAGGCATAGTGATATGTTTGCCATGGGCTTGTGAAGTGTTGGCTGGTGGCTTTATGAAAGCATCCTCGTTATCTCTGAGTTTTCAGAAGGAAATATATCCCTGAGTGACCTACATTGTGCAGTAAGGAAGCTGAGCTATTTTTATAAAGAGGGGTGATTTGTTTAACAGTTGGGAATCAGACAAGGATAACCTTGCCTCCCATTTGGGCCTGGATTCTGGAGACCCCTCCTCAGTATCATCTAGCTTCGTGCTCCTTTGCAACAAGCCCTGCTTCCTCCTGCAACCTCCTTCTGACTCTTTGTCTGCAACGCTTTCTTTTCCGCATCCCACTGAGGTGAGTTTCACAGCACTCAGAACTGCCGAAAGCAACTGTCCTACCCAAAGGTAACCTGCTCATTTCCAATGGGAGGCAGAGGCATGAATCAAACAAGCAAAGATTCCTAAGGCTTTCCCCCACCAGGCCCCCACTCCGTCTTTGTTATTTTTTCCCAAGGGAGGGGACATCTTTGAGAAATCTGGCCTCACCTTCAGCACATCCCAGACCTTCACACATCTGGCTCAACCTCCCAAGTGGCAAACCAGCACACACTCACACACACACACACACACACACACACACACACACACACATTCTAACAAGACATTAACAGATACATAAAAATAGCTTCCACAAGAAACGATGAGGAGTCACGCAACAAAATGATTTCTTTCTGTGTGCGTAAACTCATGAATAATCAAATTGCACGGTCCCCAAACGAGCCAAGCGCAGCTCTTGTCAACTTCATCCCAGTTTCCCCCTGGAAGGTCACCTCCAACCTTTGCAGGCTGGGTGGCTGTGTCCCTCACATTTACTCCCTCCTCGCCCCCTCCCAGGTCCCCGCCCCCTCCTCAGGGGGAAGAAATTAATTCCCAATGCTATGGAAACGTGCAGAAAATCTGAATGAAAGGCTGGGACTGCACTCACGAGTCATCAGGCAGGAAGGGGAGTTCGATACAATATTGATGGGGGGGCGTCCTCAGGCCGTGGCTTTTGTGGGCTGAACCAGAGCCCTGGCTTTGAGCTTCTTTAGTGTCTCATTTTAACCTACCAGCTGCCTTGAGAAGCAAGATGATCTTCCCTGACTTTTTTCTTCTTCCTTTTTTTTTTTTTTTAAAAAAAAAAAAAATATTTTTTTATTTTCCCTCATGTGTTAAGGGAGGAAACAGTGACAGGGACAAGTGACAGCTCGCTAATTATTCCCTTACTGCCACTGCTGTTCTGGCTTTGGACGCATTGCTCATTTCTCCCCGTCTTCGCACTGAATAATGCATGGGTCCCTATCTGTATTCAAGCGGCACCTCCGGGGACCGCCAGCCTAACTAGCTGATAACTGATTCAGTTTGTAAGCAGGGCCTCTGGGAGTTGCAAGGAAAAGTAGCCAAGAACAAATTTAACACTTCTTTCTCATTTCTTCCGAACATCAAGGAGAGGCAGGGTGGAAAGCAGGTGGGGATGTGTGCCTGGTCCTTGGAGGGCACTTGACCTCAAGTTAGGAGGGAGGAATCTTGGCTCCAGCTGCAAGGAGGGGGTATAATGATGATGATGAGAACAAGAAGAAGGAAAATAGTGAGGGCTAGTTGAAGGCTCACTGTGTGTCCAGCAATGTATCAAACACGTTGCATGTGTAATGTCTTCTAATCATCACGAGAACCCCTTGATGGCAATGCATTGGTGGACATGTCAGTTAGCTGTTACCATGATAACACCACATAACAAATGGCCTCAGCATTTGAGCAGCCGGCGAGCGCACACATTAATTTTTCTCATTCAGGGGTCTGCAGGTGGGTCAGTCTTGTGCTGATCTCAGCTGTGTTCGGTGGGACTTGGCTGCAGGCTGCAGGTCTGGGTCATGTCTGCTCCACATGTCTCATTCTGGGGTCCCGGCTGGAGGGGAAGAGCTACCTGGTGGCAGGAGGGCAAGTGCGTCTCCAGCTTCTGTCTGCATCGTGTCTGCTAACAGCTCACTGGCCAAAGCAAACCACGTGGCCAAATCCAGCGTCAATGGGTGGGGATGTGAATGTTGTTCACTGTAACTCCAGGGCAACCTTGTAGAAGTCTATTACTGCTAGAGGAGAGGAAGGAGTTACGTACCGAGAAGGAGACTGTAGTGCAATCCACTTCAGGGATCAAGAAATCTCCCCCCACTGCCCCAAGGAAATACCAGTTTTGTAAGACGCTGTGTACCCTTTGGTCTCCAGATTGGGCTCCTTGTTAAAGGACATGAGAAGCCAACAAATCACATGATAATAAGAAACAAAGTGGCGAATTCTTAACTAAAGTCTACAGGACCAAGTACTAGTCTAAGAGCTTTACATATATTGACACATTTTGTCCTCCTAATAACCCAGTAAAGTAGGTACTATTATTATCCCTGTTTCACAGAAGAAAAAAAAAAGGCAGGAAGAGAGAGGTAAGGTAATTTGCCTGAGGCCACACAGCTGGTTACCGGTAGTGTCAGGATTTGAACCCAGGCTGTTCCTGAACCACCCTTGGTAAAACCAAATGGTAATGCAGAAGTTTGAATTCTGAAGCTAGATGATCTATTTGAGATGTCAGACTTTAGTCGACTTTGAGGAATATACTTGGGCAGGATTAGGGTGGTATTTGGTCTAGGGCTGACCAGCCTCTGAAGGTCCAGACGTGTTTGAGAAGAGTCACGCTCACTCAGTCCCACCCTGTGGGCAGAGTTTCACATCTCTTTCTTGCTTTTTCTGGGTCAACCTGAGTTGTCAGGACATAGTCTGATCCCAGGCACTGCATTTCATGTTCTGGAACATGCTGGTACAATTGATGCCCTCCTGCCAACAGGCTGGGCGGACACAGGTGTCTCTGGGTGCTATACCGTCAAAAGCTGCCTTGGCTCTGCTTGGACTGGTTGCCCACGATCTGGTGGTGGTCAGCAACAGAAATAAAGCAGACTCTTTATAGAAGTCAATGAGACCAGGTAAAATTGGCCTGTTTTGAGGTCAAATAGTCCATTATTTGGTCCACTTTTAGAATTAAGAATGTAATCCTTAACCAGAGAATCCAGGTCCAGTCTGGGGGCTCCAAGCAGAGGTTCTGTGGGCATCGCACAGTGTTGCATTCTTAGAGCCTCACATGGTATTTGGCCTGTAGTAGAAGCTCAGTGACTCATGACTGCCTGAATGAATGAATGAATGAATGCTCATCTGTTCAAACAGATGCTTTCGAGATGAGAAACTGAGGCAGAGAGAACTTGAGCAATATTACAAAGATCATCCCCCTAACTTAGTAACTCTTACTGAGCACCTAGTATGTGCCAGGTGCTGTTGGAGATGCCGGGGATTCAACGTCCTCCCTATCTGGGTCCAACACATGTCTCATATGATGTCAGGTGTTGGGAAAAAAGCAGGACAAGGGAGGAGGGTGATGGTGGGGTTCTGTGGTTAGTGTAGACGTTCTCACTTTCATCAGGTGTCCACTATATGCAAAGCGCTTTACATATTTGATCTCATGAAGAGAGCTCAACCACCCTGTGAGGTAGGCTCCTTTATTACATCATACCCATTTTACAGACGAGGAACTGAGGCTCTGAGAAGAGGGACGTCTTACCACGGTTGCACTTGGAGGCAATACCAGAGAGGGGACCCAATCTGCCTGCCCAGTGCCTGAGCTGTGAGGGATGGTGGGGTCCCCTTCTGCTTCCTGGAGGCTGGCGTGTCAAGGAGGCTGGATGCCAAGGGTGGGACAGGAGCTCAGGGTGCCCACAGCTGTCACCTGCCCGGGAGTGTGTCTGCATCCAGCCGCCCAGCGCTGTCTGGTGGGGTGACACCGGGCTTGCTGTCAGGAGCAGCATGTCAAGGCAGCAGCGGGGGTGGCAGGCAGACTGTTGGCAGGTTGCTTAAAATAGCAGCGTGTCCTCACGGCTGCAGGAGCTTGGTTCTCCCGGCCGAGAACAATCAGAAAGAAGATTCCTCAGCCCTGCAGCTGCCTCCTCACTGGTGCCCCCTCTGCAACGAGCCAGGGAAATTATTCTCAAGTACAAGGTCCCCATTGCTCACAGGGTCTGTGGGAGGAACGTCCAAGTCCAAACCCCAGAACCTTCATAAGCTACCCCCCAACTCCGTTCTCCTCACCCCACTTTCTCTGCTTACCCTTGTCATGCTTCATTGAAGACCTCCTCTGGTGATGTCCCTTGCAGCTTTGCTTTGACCAATCTGGCTGCCTGGAGGGACCTTTTTCTCTGCCTGGAAAATATATGGAATACAGTAGGTGCTCAATATATGTCATTAGAATCCACATGTCAGTGTTGAACTCCTACTTATCCATCAAGCTCAGCTCCCTTATCAGTCCCTCGGGGAAGCCTTCTAGATTCCCCTAGGAGAAAGAATCCCTCCTTCCTCTGAGGCATATTGCTCAGGTTCAGATCAGGATTGGAGAGATTCTCACTGTTTATGGCTCTCTGTATCCCTATTGACTGGCCAGGCCCACACCTAGTAAGTGGCATTTGCTCTCGCAGGATGGCAGATAATTGGCACACAGGCTAGACTCTCCTAGCCATGCACATGGCAGACATTGCTAATCAATCATAGGATTCTTAATTTCAAAGCCCTGGGGCCTCCAGGCAGACATGAGCAATTGACAAGAGGTAGCACCAAGATGATGCCTTAATGGGTCCTCACTCGCAAGTGTCATTAACTACAGGCTTTAGATAAATGGGCTCCAGAAGCTTGTCTTCATGGCTGCCTTGGCCATCAGACAGGGTGGCTCTCAAGGGCATGACAATGTCATTTATTTAAGCATCTCTTCCTCTGGGCACAGAGCCTGGCAAATACTAGGTGCTGAAAAGATGTTTGTCAAGTGTGGAATCTCAGAAGTGGAGAGAACTCATCAGACGTGCAGAGAAGCACCCCAGGAGCTTTTTGGGATCTTGCTTTTCATGCCGCACCCTGCAGTCTCCAGGGAACAGAGCCCAGAGCCCGGGGAACCCAAACCACAAACTCATTGAGATCACTTCCAAATCACAAAATGACACCCCAGTGATCAACTGCACAGATATATAGGGTCAAAGATAAAAGATCCTCAGACCAATTAGCGAATGCTCAGAGACCCAATCCTCAGAATGTCCCTCTGAGACCAGCTGTGAGAAGGAGCAAGCTCCCACTCTTTCCTCAGTGGCAGCCCCCTTGGGGAGGAGGGAGCAGATAGCAGAACCGTGCTATTTACAAGCTTTCAAATGGGTTATTGAATCATAAACTGAAATCACAGGCTGTAACCAAATCAGCAAGGACCAGATTCAATAAAGTGGAAAGGGAGGGGGGAATAAACACGCCACCTAGAAGCTTGTTAAAGCCTTCCGTGGCTCTCCAGCCCCAGCTTTCCTCACGTCTCATTGTTTCTGGTGAATAAACCCAGCCTCGTCTGGTGTGATACAGGTACCATTAATTCCATGTGTGGTTTCTGAGTGGAGGAAAAGGCCATCATTCCGTGCCATTGGAACTTGGAAAGAACTCAAAAGGTGCTTCGACTCTCCCTTGCTGGAGCGGCTGGGCTGGGGCCCTGTCATCAGCCTCAGATGCCTTTGCTGAGTTGTGAATGTCTCAAATTATAATACATGGAAACTTTTAGGATGGGTGGTACGCACCCAGCCTCCTGTGGTTACTGTAAGGCCTCCTTGCACAGGGTCTCTGTTCCTAAGGAGGCCCCTGGGGACATCCGATGACCTCTCTGCTGGGATCATGTACGTGTGCACTGTACTATGCAGTTTATAGAAAGCCCCTTCCTGTGAATTATCTTAGTTATGCTACGAGCTCAGAATGCATAAGGCCAGCACCCTGCCTGACCTAAAGAAGACACCCCAGTGGCTGGGCACATGAAGACAAGCTTCTGGCACCCATTTATCTAAAGCCTATAGTTAATGACACTCAGGAGTGAGGACCCATTAATGCATCATCTTGGTGCTACCTCTTGTCAATTGCTCATGGCTGCCTGGAGGCCCCAGGACTTTGAAATAAAGAATCCTGTGATTGATTAGCAATGTCTGCCATGTGCATGGCTCACACTTGCAATCTCAGCACTTTGGGAGACCAAGGTGGGCAGACCACTTGAGGTCCGAAGTTTGAGACCAGCTTGGCCAACATGGCAAAATCCCATCTCTACTACAAATATAGAAACTAGCCAGGCATGGTGGTGGGCACCTGCAATCCCAGCTACTTGGGAAGCTGAGGCAGGAGAATCTCTTGAACATGGTAGATGGAGGTTGCAGGGGGCTGAAACTGCACCACTGCACTCCAGCCTGGGCAACAGAGTAAGACTCTATCTAAAAAAAAGAAGACACTCTAACCCTTGTCGGTGTCATTATCATTAATTACTATTAACTGCATGCCTACTATGTGCCAGATCCTAAGTGCATGTTACCGTTACATCTTTAAATGAACCTGCAAAGTTGCAATTCCTGTTCCTGTATTGCAGAGGAGGGTTCTAAGCCTCAGACTTACCCAAAGGCATCTGCTGGGAAGAACAGATCTGGGAATCAACATCAGGAATTCTGGCCTCCGAAGCCACAGTCTCTGCATGCACAGTAACTCTGAAAGCAGGCAGACCACCTCTTATTTTTATGCTGCCTATTTATCAGGTGAGTATACTGAGTCTCAGAGAGGTTAGGTGTCCACAGAGAGCATCAGAGGAGGCTCCAGGAGATAGCAGTTTCTTTTTCTGGGCTAGCTTCACAGACTCTGATTAGTTAAAAGGTTACAGCAGTGCTGGACGATTCCTTTGACTTGAGCTAGCCAAATATGTCACTGCATAGATGGGTAAACTGAGGATGTGGACCATCAGTGCCTTGACCAAGGTCCCCCAGTCAGGAGCTAGGACTCGAACCTACGGCTGCGGGTCTCCAGATCTTGTGTTTCTGACACAGCAGTGACCAGCTCAGGAGGATAACTGCCATGGCTCACACACAGAGCTGGCCTCCCTTGACGTGCCTCTCAATGCCAGCCTCACTTTGGTGGAAATGATTAGATCATTTCCAGCTTGAAACCGGATTCTCTGGTCTGGAATCACCATGTGTAGCCTTGACCTTGAGGTTGAGATCAGGTGCAATGTAGCAGAGCAGTGAAGAGTTAATAATAATCACATCTTTCTTATAAGGTGGGTATGCAATCGATAAGTGTGGCTCATATTTGATGAGTACCTACTATGTGCCAGGTACCCTTCTACGCACTTTGTATATGTTAATTTTCCCAGTTCCAGACGATCCTATTTTAGAGAAGAGGAAACCGGGAGAGAGTGGGGTGAGTCACTTAGGGTCGCATGGAGTTGGGGTTTACACCTAGGCAGGCTTGCTCCAGAGCACCCTTGTTACCCAGGAACCTACGCTGCTTCTTGGTTAAACAAGGCTACTTAACAGTTCGCATGCGGGTAAAACTATTGAACATCATGTGTTTTTGTATTACGGGGGATGTTAGTATTTTGCTGTGCAGAAGGAGGCTTCCAGCTAAGAACAACAGCAGCAGCAGCAGCAACAGCAAAAAGCCGTCACCTTCAGAGCTGTTGTTGGGGTTCTGTGTGGTTGGTCTCAGGCTTTCCTGAGACCTGAGGTCCGCTCTCCATAGCGTGTCATCTAACCTGGACTCTCAGGCCTCTCCTGCTTCATTCCAACTTACTCCATTCCAACCAAGATGTTGGCTCCTGAATATGTCCAATGTACTTTCATGCCCGTGGGCCTTTGCACATGCTATTCCTGATGCCTGATTTTATTTCTCCCCTTTGGACAACAAACAAACTCAAACTTAGAGATTCAACTCACAAAGCGTCTCCTTCATGAAGTCTCTCGAGATCCCTCCCTACCTTTTAACCCTCTTTAGCACATTTTGTGCTTCTTTCTCTGTATTTCTGCAACTGTGATGAACCGCCCTGGGACCCGTACCCACTCTGGGTTACCAGGGCAGGTGGATGTGTCTGTCTCCCCACCAAAAACTCCTGGAGGGCAGGAACTGGGACATATTTCTCCAATCAGAAAATGCTTATTGAATGAATGAACAAATGAATGAATGAATGAAGTTTTCTGTTTTGGCTGGATTCTAGCTGATGCCTCGTAGTCATTCACATGGGACCTGAATTTTGTCCTGGTGTGGCCATGGCCTCAATGTTCCATCTTGGGAAAGACATTGCTTTTAAGCAGCTCAGCTTCCCATCTGTAAACTAACAGGGCGGGGATTGCTGGCTGCCAAGAGCATTTCTGTGACTGCAGATTCGTCTCCTCTCTCCCCATCCCAGGCCTGCTCTTCTCCCAGGGTCCCCATCACAGTTAGCAGATTCTGGAGATTTTCCTGTCTAAATCTCTTTTGAATCTGACATTTTCTCCCTCCCATCTCCTGCTGCCTCCCCGCTGCCAACACCACCATCTCTCACCGGGATACCGGCAATGGCCTCTTAACACATCTCCCTTCTGCCTCACAGCTTCCTCGAATCCACTGCACACTCAGCAATACATGTGATCTTTTCACACACACCTTCAATCACATCCCACCTGCTGAGCGCCTTCCAGACTTCCTCTTATCCCCAGGCTGTGGAACAGAGTCCCTTCTGCAGGGCGATAAATGAATGCCCCTCCCTCCACTTGCCCTCCTCTCCATCAGCCCCTCTCCCCACTCCCTTCTGTGGTTCCCCTTCCCTGGCTCTGGCCACACTGACTTTCTTTCTGGGATTTGCACCTTGGTCCACCATGCCACCTTCCACATGCTGTTTCCTCTGCTTGGAAAGTTCTCTGCCCCCTTCACATGATCAGACTTCAGCTGGTTATCCAACGTGATCGTAGGAAGAGGCTGAGAGCAGCCTTCCAGGGCCTCCCCAGACTAGGTTGAGCATTCTGATTATATCAGCTGCTGGGGCTTCTCTTTCCTCTCTTCCACAGCTCTTACCTCTCAGCCCCCGGTATCCACCACCCCACTTTCTGTCTCTATGAGTTTAACTACTTTAGATAGCTCACTAAAACCCATGTACTTTCATGCCTCTGGGCCTTTGGACATGTTATTTATTTATTTATTTATTTTTTGAGACAGAGTCTCACTCTGTCATCCATGCTGGAGTGCAGTGGCATGATTTTGGCTCACTGCAACCTTCACCTCCCAGGTTCAAGCGATTCTCCTGCCTCAGCCTCCTGAGGAGCTGGGAGTACAGGCGTGCACTGCCATGCCAAGCTAATTTTTGTATTTTTGGTAGAGATAGGGTTTCACCATATTGGCCAGGCTGGTCTCGAACTCCTGACCTCGTGATCTGCCTGCCTCGGCCTCCCAAAGTGCTGGGATTACAGGCGTGAGCCACTGCGCCCGGCCTGGACAGGCTATTCTTGATGCCTGACTTTCTTTCTCCTCTCTGGGCTATAAACAAGAAAACTCATACTGAGAGATTCGGCTTACAAAGTGTCTCCTTCATGAAGCCTCTCAAGACTGCTCCCTACCTTTCAGCCCCCTCAAGCAAAACTGTTGTCAAAGTGAAATCATGCAATAGTTGTCTTTGTGACTGGCTTATTTCATTTAGCACTATGTCCTCAAGGTTCATCCATGTTGTAGCATGTATCTGAACGCCACTCCTTTCTAAGGCTCAATAATATTCCATTGTATGTATAGGCCACATTCTGTTTCACCATTCATCCACTGATGGACAGTTGGGTTGTTGCCACTTTTTTGGCAAAGGTGTTTAAACAGAAGCCTAATGTGTTAAAGGGGGTGTTAACATTCATGGCAATAAGGCAATGGGGTGTCCTGGGAAAGGCTTTAGGATTAGACCTGGGTTCAAATATTGGCAGTGCTATTTACCAGCTGTGTGACCTTGGGCAAGTCACTTGACTTCTCTGAGCCTCAATTTCCTCATCCCTAAGAAGAGGGAGAAAACACCCATCTCCTCATGCTGATGTGAGGTTAAGAGGCAGTGACCAGCAGAGAAGATGCTTGGTGACATACTAGGTCGGCCTTACTGATTTCACTCTTCTGCCCAGGATTGCCATGTTGTTCACTGTTCAACTACACCTGGTCCGGGTACTTGACTTGCCAATCTGAATCCAGGGTCGGCATCTGTCTGGAGGGGCCCCCTTTGTTCCTTCTCCACAAAGGCGCATCGGTGTTAGTGTGGCTCCGGCCTCAATCAACACAGATGCACAGGCTTATCCCTGCTTGGCTTATGTGGGCTGGTAAGGCACAGAGAGGCCAATTAACCAGCCCAAGGCCACACAGCGGTCCTGGGACCCCTTTGAGCGTGAGAACCTGGCTCCAGGCCTGAAGAACAGAGCAAGGTGTGTAGCTGAGAACCTCGAACAGGTGAGCAGAGGGCTTGGGGGTGATGGGACTGAAGGAGCTTCAGACTCCCCCCACCTCCTCCTCTCTCATCAAGAAGTAGACAGTGAAATAGATGAAACAAAACAAAAATGCTGTCTCATTCACAGTTCAGCCCCTCCTTGGGGAGGCAGCCTCGTCGGAGTGGTCACTGATACAGGCCTCTGTGCTGCTGACCACGCTCTCCTCCCAGCCCCCTCCCTGACTTACTCCTTCCATCCCAGGATCGTTTTCCAGACAGCCCTGAGCCAGGCCCGCCAGACTATTTAGTCTGGGTTTGGTGACCCCGTCTGACTGCCTGCAGGATGTGCTCAGGTTTCCGGGCCTCCTCGGTGCAATCAGTGCAGGCTCCCCCTCCTCGCTCCCTCCCCTGCTTCTTACACAAACACTTGCCTCCAGGCCCAGGACTTCCTGACTCATTTCCTTGCCTTAGACGCAGCCTCCGGCTTCCAGAAGGGAGCTTTGATGCCCTACAACATGGTCCTCTGTCCACGGCTCTGCGAGCCCCCGTTCATCACTCCGGCACCCAAACGCAGCCGGCCTGCATTCCCATCACTGCTCTCTCTCCCTCACTTGCTCCCTCGGAGGCTGACTCCTTGGCGTGCAAGTTTATTACAAGAAAAAAGATGAGGCAAATTTAAAATGTTTTTTCATCAGTGAACACATGGTAGATTAGCTATTTGTCCTTGTTCCATGTCTCAGAGGGGGAAACTGAGGCCCTCATGAGGGAAAGGGGTGAACCCAAGCTCATGAGGAATTGGGGTCTCCTTGTCATCTCAGCTTTGATGTCACTCAGCCTCTGTTCTCTCATTCCTCTTCTATTCTGGGTTCTGGGCTCTATATGCTACCTTCAAAAAGTTATTTTATTTTATTATTATTATTTCTTTTTCGAGACCGGATCTTGCTTCGTCATCCAAGCTTGAGTGCAGTGACACAGCCGTGGTTCACTGTAACCCAGATCTCACGGGGTCAAGCGAATCTTGCATGTCAGCCTCCTGAGTAGTTGGGACCATGGGTATCATGCCTGGCTAATTTCTAATATTTTTTGTAGAGATGGGGATCTCACCATGTTGCCCAGCATGGTCTTGAACTCCCAGCCTCCAGCAGTCATCCTGCTTCTGTCTCCCAAAGTGCTGGGATTGCAGGCATGAGCCACCATCTCTAGCCCATGTACCATTTTTTGAAAACTCTTTTTGAGTGTCTTGAGATGCAGGGAAGTTAGGTACCCTGAGAGTCAAACTATCTTATTTTGGGTATCTTACTTGTGTACAAGGAAGTGAGGGAGGAAG